GGCAGCTGATAGGCGGACCCCAAGTGCAATCTGTTCCGCTGCCATTAACTATCTGTCTGTCGTCAACTTTCATTCTCTTGGTGTGGAAACTGTTCGCGCGATTTGGTCAAACCATTACTGTAGTCTGAATGCCGCCATTGAACAACGTGATATTTTCAAGGGTCCCGTGTTGTGGTCGTAAAGATCGTTCGGTGCAACTCAGACGTTCAGTGCAACTCGGACGTTCGGTGCAACCGAGGGTTCAGACGGAAAGAGGTGCATTTGAGGAGCCGGATCTGGTCGTCGTCCGGGTTCCCCCACTTGCCACTTTCACACTGACCCTCCCCTCCACCTAACCGATCACTTGCGACGCGCGACACGGACAACATCTTAGTCTTAGCGAAGGAACCTATCTGGGCACAACGAGTAGTTCTATCTGTCATAGAAGGACTAGCGGACATCGTCGCCATAGGCTATCAGGCGAAGGAAACATCGGTGACAGAGAGAGGGCCTATAGTGAAAGCAGTCAACGTTCGGACCCCATGTTGCGTTGTGTTGCGAATCAAGCACTGCTGTGTAGAAAGACAGAGGCAGCTGATAGGCGGACACCAAGTGCAATCTGTCCCGCGGCTGTTTTCTGTCGTCAAGTTGCCAACTCAGGCGGGTGTGGAAACTGTTCGCGCGAATATGTCAAACCTTACTGTACACAGTCTGAATGTCGCTCTTCGACAACGTGATATTTCAAGGGTCCCGTGTTGTGGTCGCAAAGCATCGTTCGGTGCAACTGAAGGTTCACACAGAAAGAGGCGAAATTTACGAGCCGGATCTGGTCGTAGTCCGGGCTCCCCCACTTGCCACTTTCACTCTGACCTATTCGTCGACCCTAAGTGGTATGCCCTTGTTGTCTTTGTAGTGGCTGTAGTGCTTGACGTTTTTAGATGGTTGTTATCACTCACACCAGGTTGGGGGGAAAGAGCAGGGAGTGCCACGCTCACGACAGCTGACGTGGGGGCTCCGCACAATCATTCTTTGGTTGTACTACCCAACGCATACCTCTGTGCAGGGCACCTGAAACAGTCATCTCGGCTACAGATCCGACTACATGCGCACTCACACGAATATGACCCGCCCCTCCGCCCAACAGATCACTCGCGACGCGCGACACGGACAACATCTTCTTAGTCTTAGCGAAGGAGTCCATCTGGACGCAACGAGTAGTTCTATCTGTCATTGAAGGACTAGCGGACATCGTGCGCCATAGGCTATCAGGTGAAGGACACATCGGTTAGGGTTAGGGCCATGAGACTACTGTAGTGGAAAAAATGAACGTTCGGACCCCTGTTGCGTTGATATTTTTGAGATGAGCTGTACAGTAGTCACACATGCTGCGCGTGTCAAAGAAAACGTCGATAGACAAAGAGCGATGAGTGGTGGTCGACGATACTGACGATACATATATCTCGTCAGCCGCTGGCGCCGTCGACGCTGCCAAAACAAAGAGAGGCACACAGACAACCCTGCGAAACTACGGCGCTTTGATGATGCCACACGAAACCTCTCCAAACGATTTTCGTCCTCTTTGGGAGCGCGATGAGATTTTCACAGTCTGATGTACATCGTTTGCGGTTGAGTATCCCACGGAAGGAAACGTGTGAGATAAGCGGATGGAGGCGTGAGTTGTACGATACCTCGGAAGCTGCAACAGAGTCGCAAAACGTGGTCTCGCCGAATTGGTACGAGAACGAAACCGGGATATAGTCGTTGAAACGCGGCGGATATACATGCCGAGCCACCGATACTACAATAGATCGAGTCTTCGACTTGTTGGACGCGTGCCAAGTCAAGCTCTTGCGGTGATGATGTGAAAGGCTGGCCAACGAACATACAATGTGTCCGTGCATGCATGAGGAATTCAAAATCGAGTCCCAAAGTAGTGCCGTTGTCTGTGGACGACATCGAAGGGCAACAACGTTTAATGAAATACGAAACGTATACAGACAGACAGACTAAGACGCTGATCAATTATTTTTGAAACGTCCACGCACGGCGGCCCAACCCCTAATAAGATCATGAGCCTGACAGTCACCCTTACACCTTGCATCTACCCACTTTTGCCACGATTTACAGTGCGAGCTTACAGGACAATCTGTTCTGCACGACCAGCTTGCTGATCATAATGGCGAGTAACTCGGGTGGCAGATCATCAGCCGGAGCTTCCACCAGGCGAGATAGATTAGATGTATACACCAGAATTATACGTGAAAATATACTAGACTAGAGTAGAGTGTAGGCTAGGTGCAGTACAGTGGTACCCTCCTGTATTCTTGTTGTTTTTGTAGTAGTGTACTTTAGGCTTTTTTCTATACTGTAGTTGTCCCTGGTACAAAGTAGGGGGTGGGTTGAAGAAAACGTTCAAAACGAAAGGTACAACAACCAACGAATTGGTGGCAGTATTCTAATGCAGTTCCTCTCTTGCTAATGTGTATCCACTACACTACTTCTGATGGCTCTAGCATTTGTTGTGACCACGGACCGCGTCTTTGCTACGCATAGATTTAAAGATTAGTGACTGACACGAGTTTAACGTGAAGAGAAAAAAATAGAAAAAAACTACTAGTGCAGGCTATTATAGGTTGTACTGTACCCGGTATTAGGATTTACTAGACATATATATCATGGGGTCTAACTTTTGTCTAAAGTTGTCGCTGGTACAAAGTAAGGAGGGAGTTAGGAGCGATAAAACGAATTGTCTAACCACAAGTTAGTATTATAGGGGCAGTTCTTCTCTTTCTCGCAAACAATTTCGATCTATCATTAGATATAGTGTAGACTAATTTATTAATAGATTGTTACCGGTTAGTTGTCGCTGGTACAAAATACACGGGGAGGGGGGGAAGAACGTGTAAAACGAACTGTCCAACAACTAGAATTCTAAGGACAGTTCCTTTCTTGTCTTGTTATTAATGTTTGAGAACAGAGAAGCCACTATTGTTTACTCCAGAATATCTCGTGATCAAAGACTACTGGCTACCTAGAATTAGACAAGTAGGTTACATTATTATATATGGAGTGTAGACTTTGTCTAATAACGTCGTCGCTGGCACGAAGTAGGTGGGGGGTTGAAGGACGTGCAAAACGAACAGTGCAACATCTTTACTGTAAAATAACACGTGTCACAGTTTGATGGTGCTTCAGTACATATACGTATGTGAGGCGCGCTACCTTCAAGTCCCTGGTACTGTTGATAAGTGTACAATATATTGTAGCAGATTTGTAAATGAATCATCTACTGTAAGGGCCGTTTAAAACGCAGCGCTATTTCGCTCCAATTTTCCAAATTTCCAAAAAATAAAAATTGGAAAGATTCCAAAAATTTGGAACGAACCATTCCAAATTTTTCGGCCCCTTGTTGAGGAGGACCCGATTCGCAGGGTATCCGTCGATTGACTTTTACCAGAATCGGTACACCTTCGCATGTGGCGTCAGCGGCAGGATACTGGTTCGAATCTCCTTGGGTGCACGTTTTTTCTCCTGACTTGGACATTTTCCCATGGACATAATGTGTGTCAGTCCTGAGAACACCTCTTGGAATCGATCCTATAAAGAACCTTGTGACACTTCCATCGAATTACCCGTCCTGGCCACAAGAGGTTCCCAGTTGAGGGTAAATTCTGTGGGTGGAGAGTGTTAAGGAGGACCCGATTCGCAGGGTATCCGTCGATTGACTTTTACCAGAATCGGTACACCTTCGCACCCTACTGATTTCCAAATTTCCAAATTTTCCCAAAAGGAAAATGATGTGTGGGCGCCGCAAATCGCCGTTCCGTGTGTTTTTGGAACGAATATTTTGGAAATTTGGAAAAAAATCGCCACGGGTAAAACAGCCCTAATAGTCGACACGCACTCGCCGGTATTCATTCGTCGGATTTGCTGACAACACCACATCATTGAAAAACTGCTAACCTACCCCCCTCCACTCCTTAAATCTTGAATCATGGTAGTCGTCTTGTGGATCTGGTCATTTTTATGTCGGGCAAACTATGTAGAAACACTTTTCCATTACAATCAGATGAGCTGGATGGACGCCGGCGGTTTCATGTTAATTCAAGCTTGGCAATGTCGTCCACTAGTACCAGTCATTTCCCATGCTGCGTGGCTTTTTGCGAGAAGCAAGGTTCGACAGCAGTGGCTTGCATGCTGGAAAACTGCCGATGTCTTTCTTTGTGAATCGTAACGTCGCTCAGCCGGATTGGTTGTTTGGGTGTTTCCTATATCGTAGCGAAACGGCATTACGTCTCGCGGCTGTGCGGGGCATACCTCGGAGTATTCATACTCTTTGAGTACGTATGTCTGGAATTCCAGCTCCGAAGCAGCATGAAGTGGTCGGCTACTGTTTGCTGACATACGAAAAGATGACAGGACCTCCTGTTGCCTATGGGCAAATGGAAATTGTTGCAACATCTTTTGGAACCAAAGGCTTTATTCGAAAATTGCGTTGGACAGTTTCACTTTGTATCTCGTACAGAAAATTTACGTTCTCGTTCACAACTCCAAGAACAGTGAGTTGTGACCCCGCCACTACCTCCCGCTCCATTCCCTATGTTCCTTCCGTTCGGCCGCCTCCTTGCTGCAGGGGAGAAGAACGACGTGAGCTGCAGCAATGCAACTTATCCGCATGCAGCCCCGCCGGCAACGGTGCCGTGGGGTGGATGGTGAGGAAGCACTGGCACCCGATCAACCCGATCACCAAGGCAACCATGTTCGAGGAAGCCTTCTCGAGGTAAATGGTGGATGACCTTTCGTTAGCTGATGACCAGGGGCACTGATTTCGTTGCTCTTGTTCATGCGACGCACATGATCGTGTTCGCCGCGTGCCGGTCAATCTTGGGCGCACACTCACTCCCCGAATCAGTTTCTGCTACATATGGTCCATATCTACAAAGCGCGAATTCGCTGAAGATCCGTCCCACCCTACCCCCAGCCCAAAGTGCGCATTACCTACAGCGGCTGAGGAGGGTGTCATGGCGCCGAGGGGAGGGGACAAGGGCAGGGGCACGGACAACAGCAAGGGCAAAGGCAGAGTCAAGAGCAGGGGCAGGAAGGCGACGAAACAAAAGGTGACATCGCATTCGAAAAGTGATGCTTACAGTAGCGAGCCGACAGGGGCTAGACGCGTCACCCAACCGAGCAAGACGCAGGGGAGTTGATCCGCCTCGATTTATTTAGAAGTTTTGCCGTGCATCGTAGATCAACAGGAGAAATACATAACATCCACCAAGTTGTCAAGAGACTGCGACGTGTTCCTGTGAAGGCAGAATGTTACAACACACGACATAACGGAGGGTTTCTCCCCGATATTTTTGTCGTTGACCCGTAATAGAGAAAACTACGGGGGAGATGTCCTGTGGCGTGTGTACCTAAGCAGTGATTTTGTGACTAGCACCTGCCGGCATCACTGATAGTAATGTTTCAGCGTATAGGGTTAAATAGACTCCAAATATGCCCAGTACCCAGCCGTTTTCCCGCCATTCACTGTAAAGACTTCAACACATCCCGCCGTTCGACTGTGGTCTTACCTCGAACGGGTAGCCTTTCTGTGTTTGTATTCATGTTTCCTAGTAATATCACCCGAGGGAACCCAACCGCACCGGGGTAAACTCACTGCTGCTGTCATGAACTCCAGGAGTACCAGAACAACGCACAATTTACAATTGGGATCTGGTTTTGGTACCTTCCGAGTATGTCGTCCTCATGCCCCTGGCGCGAAGGCGCTATCCGCAGTGTATCGCGTTTGTTTCCCATTTGCATACGTGTATCTCATTTTTCTGTTGATGATGTTGTCGTCGAACTACTGTAGTAACATGTGCATGATTTTTCTCCGTCTGTCCAACACGTTGTCCTCGCCACAGACCGTCACAACGTCGACGCCTCAACCATCGCTGTCACCGGCTCCCGGGACGTCAACGCCGACGGAGGAGGAAGAGTACTCTGGGCGGCTTGGAGGCGCATACCAGGTGATGCGTGAAGTAGAAGCCGCGAAATGAAGTCATGCGTGTGCGAATAGTTACGATCTATCTGTATATGTAACACCGTGGAACTGAGGGTGATTGCAGTGAGTGAACGTTTCAGCAGCGCACGGGTTCCTGGCCTTGGGTGCACCTTGATTGTTAGGGTCTCCCGTAGCTAGCAGCCCATCAGTGCTGAGTTTGACGACAATATCAATGGTGCGTCCGCTGTTCATTTGCATCGCAGCCTCAGAGCAACTTGCAATCTCCTACGGGCCAGGAGATGGATAGTGTGGTACCAAGTCTCACCCTGACGAAAGAACATGCGGATGCGGTGTGCCATTCCTGACCCGTACTTTCCCCTTCCTCTTGGTAGGCGGCCATACCGGAACTTGAGACCATGCCAGTTTCTCGGCCTGAGGCATCGCCGGCAACAGCATCATCTGCGGCGAGGGCGGCTACCTGCAGGCAGATTTGGGCCGCCGTCAAGCCCACGGCAGCCGGGGACCATTCCACACAAGAGCAGAAGGTACGGACGAGGCCAAGGCCTGTGTGGCGCACGTGCGGGGGGACGGGAAGAAGAGCACATTGGCAATACATCAAACAAATGATGGTAACGACTGACAATAGATTATTAGAAGCTACCACTTCACGCGTTTCTTTTCGCGAACACGTGAGTGAATTGTTGATGCGCGCCATCGCTCTTTCCTGCGGCAGGAAAAAGAGTTGTTCATCATGTGCGCCAACTGCCTGGTCCACGAGTTCAAAGGACGGATCCCAGTAGACCGGGTAGGAGAAACACGGGCAGTCAAGCTTAGGGCAGTGAAGGGTACGGGGGGGGCAATCAGGATCGATCATTGAAGCTGGGTCCATCTGGCGAAACGCGGTCATTCCATGTCAGATATTTACGCTGTTAAGGTTATGATAGTGTCTGATACCATAAATGGCCACACACGTTTATGTCTCATATTTCGTTTAATTTTTCCTGAAGTAGCATCGAAGGTCTTTCGGGTAGTTATTTCCACACCCCGTCTCTCGGTCTCGCCACCCCTCCCCCGCCAACGCTATTCCAACAACCCACAATCATTGTGGTCGTGTTTGGACTCGCTTTCCGCAACCCCCGACCAGTGCCTAGAAGTTGTTTACCGGACGCGGGAATCGGGAACATCAGTGTACGAGCGGTTTAGGTCGGCCAGAGGGCAACTCCACGAGCTGGAAACGGACGGGACATCAACTTGTGTACAGCGTCAGTGGACGGAGACCGAGAACGAGCTATTCTCGATAGCGATGGTCTCCAATGGCCGGAAAGACTTTTCGGCAATTTCGGAGAGGTTGGGACAGCAGGTGCGGGCTAGAGAATATTCATCTATGGGCCGAATGGGGTAATCTGTGGGGAGTTGTTTTTCCCTCCGGCGCTAGAACCAAAGCTACTGTAGGTAATATTGAATTCTTCATGCCAACGAGGTCCCGACCTCTAGAACGAAGGTGTTTCCTTCTATTTTAACCCCCAAGTGGTGAGAAACGATCTTCCGTGGAATAGGCTAGCCGAAGCAAACATGCATCAATGGAGGGACTGCAACCAGAATTCCCGTCACTTGCGGATGCTTCCATGAAATGGGCAACATCAATCAAAATCTGACGGGAGGGTGTTGTACACAAAACAAACGCTGTAAGTCGTGGGAATTTTTAAAGGAAGGGTAAGTGTAGTGGTATGCACGCGTGATGAAGTCTGGTTGACCCGTGAAGAAGAACTCACTTGTTGTTACTCTTGTAGAACAGCAGCAGCAGTAGCTGTTGCCTTGGGTATCGGTAGGAATGACACCAAGGGGCACAGGATCCTCTGCACAAGCAGGGGCTACTAGATCCTGTCCCCTGCTTTTTATCCTTCCGCGGAGAGTTACATCTCTCCGCGCCTTCTAGAAGGAACCAAGCTCTTCTATGTTTCGTCTACACATCTGAATCCTATAACACTAGCCCATCCTGGAGGTTCTCATACGCAGATACTGTAAAACCTCGGAGTCTTGACAAGCAATTGTCGAGTCTCTAAATGAAAGTATCGAGGATGTGGAGCTCCAAAACAGCACAATTCACCCTCCCACACCTCTCACTCGATGAGTCGCAAGACCATCGTTTGACTTCTAAAACGACAAAAAGACACAGACAGGAAGGAACTGACGGGGCTAAGAAAAGCCTACGACGACCGGAAGAAGGTCGGAACCAAAGAAAGGAAAACACAAAGAAGGAAGAAAAACAGAAAAGAAAAACAAAGGTCGTCAAAACGACAAAAAAGAAAGGATCACTGTAGGAACCACAACAAGACCGGTATCGTAAGAAAACGATCAGATACGCCATTCACGCAGTCGCCACGGCAGTGTAGAAGGGGCAACAATGGGCGCGAAACACCTACAGGTCGTGACCAAACGCTAAAGGCACAAAATAAAGCGAGGAGAAAGCGAAAACCGACCAAGGCTAAAAAGCAACCCAAACAACGCTGAAAACAACAGAAAGCCAAGACAACTAGCACGTCGTCTTAATGGGGGCGCGCCACGTTATCAGGCAACGAATCAGCCCCGGGGTCACCACGCGACATGTCGACGTTGCGAAGGATCCCCTTAAAAAGGGCACTGCCGCTGTGAACTTGAAGGCACCAGGATCCGGAGACGGCGGTTTCAGCGGTGGATTAGCGAACATCAGGAAGGGTGAGCTTGACAGGGCCAGGATCGTCCAAGAAGCGGACGACGTAGAAGTCGGACGGTAGAGGCGGTCCAGTAATCTTGCCCAACCACCAGAATCCATCGCGAGCTTTGTACCAGAAGAAGGCGCCTGCAGGTAGCGGAGTATTGGCGAAGCGACGGTCCCAAGTTGAACGAGAGACGAGCGAATAACCCGAAGGCAAAGCTCGCTCCCCTTTAGCGCGCGCCATCTCGCGGGTGGCCGCACCAATACGCATCGCCCGATAGCGACGATTCGTTTGGCGATGTTGATCAGGCGAACCCGTCCAGTACCGGAGAATGTGGGGCTTGGAATGCTGGAGGTCCATCTCACGTTCCCAAGAAGGACGAAGAAGACCTTTCCAATGCGTTTGGTATAAAACAGCGATGGTGCCACCACGGCCACGAACAGACTGATGGCCACTAATGCGGTCAACCTCGAGACGTTCGACCGGAGTCGACACGTCGTCTTCCGTAACATGGTAGGGAGGAGATTTATTCGCATAGGAGTTTAGCACATACGGTGTAAGGCCGGCAGGCAGGAACCGAGGCAAGTCTTCAGTGTCATGCGGATTAGCGCAAGGCTTGCAACGCGCAACTGACACACGGTTTTTCGAGTCCGGACCCGACAGATCCGATGGAAGATCCAAATACAGTAACTTGGAAGCCAGAGGACAACCGTCGGGAGCGTCAGGACACGGACCCACGGCCAAGATCTTGAACGGACCAGTCCACAGGAAAGACAACTTAGCCTTGAGGACCTTGTCATCCGTGCCTGAACGAACACCTTGGCGAATGGTAGATTCGGTGTTGTACACCCAAACCCATCCACCGACGGTGTATGAGGGGACCTTGCGCAAAGCATCCGATAGGGCGGAGTTACGCCGCTCAATCCTCGAAACGGACAGGTTGTGCTGTTCGCGAACTAAATCGTAAGAACGACGTTGGCGATCAGCAGCAAGATCGCAATACTCAAGTTGATCGCGATGCAAGCTTTGGTGGCCTCGAGCATATGGATGCTCAAAAACCGTCATCGGCATGCGTGGCAGTCGGTTCATATGCACCTCGTTGGGCGCCAAACCAGTAGCGGCACTAACCGAATTGTTGTAGGCAAACTCAACGTGCGGCAAATGAATGTCCCAATCATCTTGCCTCTCATTGACGACCATAGCCAACATCTGAGCCATAGTGTGATTGACGCGCTCCACACCCCCATTGCCGTTGGGATGGTAAGAGCTGGTAGCCACTTTGCGTATAGCCAGACGGGCGTATACAGCCTGCGACAATTTGGAACAAAACTGAGAGACATTATCAGACAAGAGACTCAAACGGCAACCCCATAAAGGGATATACCGATTGACAAGTACGTCAGCGGTGCCTTCGGCGGTGAATTCTGCAGCCGTAACCGCGTACATGTCAGCACGGCGGCTGAAACGATCAGTGAAAAGCAGAATATATGTGTTTCCGCGCGGTGTCAACGGGAGGGGACCGAAATAATCGACGCTCACCGATACACCAGGGCCCGAAGGCAGCGGAAGGCACAAAGTAGGCCATCGAGGCGTTTGACGAGATGACTTGCGAGCTTGGCATCGCAAACAATGCCGTACCCACCACTTCGTGCAAACACTCATGCCAACCCACCAATAAAAACGTTCCAGCATGCTAAGCGTGCGAGCGGCACCGAGGTGGCAGGATGCATCAGCGTGACAGGCTTGCATGATCCACGGACGCATGAGCATGGGAACATAAATCCGAATGGGTTCGTCGTTGAGAAGGCGAGCAGCACGCCCGCCAGGACGTGTGGTCGTAGACGACGGGGGCGCTGTTTGCTTGCGAACAAGCAAGACCAAACCATCATCGTCAACATGTAACCGGCCTTTGTGAGACAGGTCACGAATCTCCGACAGAGGGGGTCGACGAGCGGACGGAAGATGATCCAGGAAATCCGGAGGGAGAGCCGAAGGCCGACCCAGAAGGATGAAACGAATAGCTGCATCACAAACAGGTTCGTTACGTTGCTCGCGAGCCCAATCAGCATGCGAGAAACGTTCGACAGACGCCCGGAAGGCTAAATCTGCCGAGGAATGTAAAGCCGCCTCGATAGAAGAGGGGGCCGATTCCTGAGGCTCCGGCTGCAATCCACCCGAAGGCAGAGTAGCAGCGGAAACCGAAGACGAAGGCGTATAAGTGGTCGAAACCAAATGCGTCGAAGATTCCGAAGAATCGGGAGCAGCAGAAGACTGCTGGGCAGGAGCAGCCGAAGTTGCAGGATGCGTCGAAGACGCAAGATCCCTTCCACGAGCCAGAGGCGTATGGAGGTCTGGGATCGAAGTGTCAGCACCAGGAGCCGAAACCAACCTGGTCAAAACGGGGGGCGCCGTCGATGCTGATTGTGCAGGCGGGGAACGTCGAAACGATCTGGGCGAAGCGGAAATCCGAGTAGGAGCAGGCGGGTCCTCAGAGAAACCATAATCCACGGGCGGGAGGGGCGTGCCTGCCACAACCGCCGTGCGACGGCGAGTTCGCGTGGAAAATAGTTGAGTAGGGTCGAGAGTCCGTCGTGATGCTGCAGTCGGCGAGACGGCCGGCGAAGACTCGGGCTCGAGAGCCAAAATGTCCTCCACCGAAGAATGTAAGGAGCCAGACCAATCGAGGGTCCTGCCACACAGGCGTCGTAGCGAAGGAGACAACCCGCGGGAGTTGTTAGACGGCCAGGGTGCGATGTTCCAGACGCCAGGCGGAGACGAAAGGCCTGACGGCGAGAGACGTGGACCATGCCGACGGAAGTCGACAAAATCATCTGTAGAGGGGGCCAGCCCACCCAAGACCGAAGTCGGGGAAGTGGGGACGAGCCCACCCAAGCCAACACCCACGGCGCGATGGCCAGAAGGCGTAAGGCCACAAGAACGGATGAAGAATACGCTCTCCTCATCGTCATCCGGTGTCAAGCGACTGCGACCAGATCGGTCACATTCCGCCGCATCGATCGGAAGGCGAGAGAGGAAATTAGCGTTGCCATTTGCGGAACCCTTGCGGTACTCGAGAGTGTAATTGTAGGCGGTAAGAAATTCAAGCCAACGCTGAACGCGGGCATTGTTCTCCCCCACCTTGGCAAAATGCTCAAGAGATTTGTGGTCGGTAAAAATGCGA